TATATATATATATATATATATTGCTTAACATGTATATATATATTAATATATATATATATATATATATTGTTTTGATATATATATATATATATTGTTTTTGATATATATATATATATATATATATATATATATATATATATGTATTGGTTGTTTTGATATATGTATATGTATGTATATATACATATATATATATTGTTTGCTTAGTATTATCTTTATACAGTTCTTTTCCTTTCCTTTTTTATTGTTTATTTGAAACGTTGTCAATACTGTTTGTTGAATATTTCTGCCAATTACATCTAACCATGGCCAATTACTCTACACTTTATTTATTCTGATTTTCTTTGGCCCGTGAGCCAAAAAACAGATAATTGTCTTCAGAGCAATGGATTAGTGTTATTTCTATCCAATGATATTCTGATGCTATTAAAATAAGAGAGTTATTAATGGAGAGAATAAAAACATATTTAAAAAGGTATTCTCTAAATCATGAAGAATGCAATACATTTCCATTTTTTGTCAGAATTAATACTATCTTTTGACTAATTGTTTTTTTTTTATGGATTATATTGCCATATAAATTGGAAAGAAATAAAACATCATAAATTATTTGCACTAATTATTCAAGCATTTGTAATTGTATGTGTGTGGTGGGATATGTGGATATTTATTAACAGACTGGGATACCGATCTCGCAAGATAAATGTAAATCTACGGAGATGCGTGCATAATCAATTCACATACTGTAATATCAACGAAATTAACCAAACAGTGTTTTCGTGGACGAGCGGTTGAAGCACGGCGGATCAGTCGATATTTTCCCCTGCAAAGGCTGACGCAAATTCGAATCTGGCCGGAGGGACACATGTTATTTAATAAATTTTCAGGTGTATGCAAATCATCTGAAGAAAAAACTTATGTTTAAAATAATATACAGATAATCTATTCAAATAAGGAGTCCACAAAATATATATACATATATATAAACAAATTATTATATATATATATATATATATATATATATATATATATATATATATATATATATATATATATATATATATATATATATATATATATATATATATATATGTCTTTGTCTTGGTAATCGGAGAGCCGAGTTCGAATTCCAGTCAATCCATTCACTTAGGTGCTAATACTTTCTTCTCCGTCCAGCTATGGGTAAATAGCAAGGCAGACTGGGTTCTATAGCCTTGATGGCAACTGATCTTTAAAAACCTGCGAAGGGTCGTTTGGGGGACCATGTGGCACCTAATACACCAGGTCTCTGTATTCGGGACTTCAAAAAGTATGGATGGTTCTGCATAAAACCTTCACCACTATAATCTAATCTCATGTGCTGTTGTCGGGCTGTCGGTTTCCTGATCTGCTTGACCTTCATACGTCGAACTCGACGGGAGAGTCAGTATATATATATATATATATATATATATATATATATATATAATTATTATTATATTATATATATATATATATATATATATATATGTATGTATAAATATATATAATAATAATTTATACATATATATACTATTATATATATATTATTATTAATTTATTTATATATATATATATATATATATATATATATATATATATATATATATATAGAGAGAGAGAGAGAGAGATAGATAGATAGATAGATAGATAGATAGATAGATAGATAGATAGATAGATAGATAGATAGATAAATTAATAATAATAATTTATATACATATATCCTTGCTTGAACCGGCATCTAATGCTCTGATGGAGCGGCTTGGGAATACAAGACGTGACTGGTGGGGCACAGTCCGTTGGTATAAGTAGACTTTGATGAGTCACACAACGAAAGTGGTGAAGAGCAGTCTAGTTAACCTCTTCGTCACGCACTTAATTATGATTTTTATTCTCTCAAGGACACATAGCACAGTGGATAAAGGCGTTAGTTAGATCCAGTGACAAGACCCAAAGAGTTTGAGTTCAATACCAGGTTAAGGCAGTGGAGAACTTTCAGAGGGAAATTAGCAGGAGATAACTGACATCCATAAAACATGCCACAGTCTACCCCAGTGAGCGAAATAAGGGTTTCAATTCGACCTTCCGACCACCGGAAGAAAGCCGGAGCATACAACGGCCGAAACGTTGTAATAAATATGGCGACAAAGTCTTGTGTTTGAACGTCGTGCGTTTATTTATTTATTTTTGAAAATAATAATGTAGCGTTCTTTGTTTTTTTTTTGTTTTTTTTAATAAAAAAAGCGTTTGTTGGTTTGAGATTGAAACCTAGGTAGCAATTAGGATTCAACAGACCTTCTGATTTTTAAAGCTATATATATATATATATATATATATATATATATATATATATATATATCAATGTTTATTTGGCCTACAAACCTTCTTTTAAACATGTTTCATTGATTATTTACATTACATACATTGTTCGGACTGTTGACCTCATCTTTATTGGCATATTTACGACGATTCGCCTGTTGTACACTCCGTCCTTCCTCCCGTGATTGTATTTTCACACTGAACCGTTTATTCCGTTTATTATTTGTTCTAGTTCCACGTGCCATGCCTCTCACGGCCGAAAACTGTCGTGAATATGGCCACAAAGATGAGGACAACAGTCCGAACAAATAAATAATTACAATACCTCATCGCAGAAATATAGACAGATATGTTTCGTTGAATATGACAAACAAGGAAAATTTAATTATTTTTATTTATTTATTTATTTTTAGTTTACCAGCATTCTTAGATTTTTCCGTTTCGTAAGAGTAAATGAGCGCAATATTTGCCCGCACAATCAATGGTCGCTAGAAATTAAATGTTAGAAAAGCATGTAACAGAGAATAGATTGCTTAACTACTATGTTCTACCTAGCACCCTCTATGGATTTGAATGCTAGACTATTTCCTCACAAGGGAAGAGACTAAAAGCCACAAAATGGTAGTACTAAAACAGATGCTAAGAATAACATGGACTGAACATGTGAATAACAAGGAAGTTTTTAAGAAAATGGGAACTAAATAGACCATTATACTTGCAAATAGAGCGAGGGAGATAGCTGATAGTTTTATATAGAATCCATTGCTTGGTTTGCTGCTAAGAACTTTGGTTTACTGAGAGCCGATTTTTCTCTCCAGAATCCATCTTACATATCTGTAAATCTATCATTAGTTCATGCTTTGAATATTCCTGCCCCATATAGTCCGGTGTTCCTGATGCATGTTTTTGATAAAATCCAAAGAAGAATTGGCAATATTATTGGTCCTAACCTGGCGTCTCGGCTTTAGTCATTTTCCCACCGCCGTAAAGTTGCTTCCCTGTGTCTTTTTTATAAATACTTTCATGGTAATTATTCGGATAAAATCTTCACTATGTGTTGTAGAGTAGTTTTTTCACAGTGGAGGCTTGTATTTCACTAAGTCTGTCCTAAAAGAGTCCGACGTACAAAACGTTAGGAACTTGCAATAAGAGTTAATGACGCAGCAATCTAGTTGTGATGGTTGATACTTCAATGTCCGACATCGACTGACTCACTCAACACCACTGAGCCCAACTGTCGATCGCTACTACTACTACTACTTATTATGTATGGGAGAGTCTAATAATAATAGAATAGGTACGTCAGGTATAACGCTATGGTACCTAGACTTCATGAATTTATTCGCAATATAGGATTAGTAACACGGTCTCGTCAATTTACAGTTGGACTGGCTAGATGTGACCCTAAGTTCTATTTTAACAGTCTCTTCTATCTCACTTGACGCTTTTGAATCTCTCTTCCAGCGCTGTGTTTTCCAGTGAAGTTTTCTATTCAAAAATTTAAATGCAATGTTTTTTTCTACTGTCTTCCTGAATTTTGCTTCTATCGTTCTCACTCCTTATTAATGTTTCTGTTTTCTAATTCTTTCACTCTCACTAACCACCTTGTGTCTTAGTGGCTTTATTGCCTAGCTCGTGGTGAAATTGATTTTTTTTTTAAAGTTCTAGGACACATACTGAGGAAAGAGTGCTTGAAGAATTTGACACTCACGGGGTGTTTTGAAGGCAAGGAGATAGAAACTAACATCGAGTAGCCTAACTAACGAGTAAGTGTGAATAGATTATAGTGAGAAGACCAATGGAAATTGTAGTGTTGTATGTTGCATAGAGCTACAATGGAAATGAATTTTGGAGAGCTATAATGTACTACTTTATACAAGGTAATGGTACAAAAAAGAAATAGTGTTTTAAATACCTAACTAGCTTGTTTAAATGGATGCACGAAATGAATAGAGGTAGATAGTAAGAAGATAAATATTGCGTTGAGTTACAAATTTAGGAAGATGTGGAGAGCTATGATCCCCTCTGTCCTGACATTTTCAGTGCGTTTTTCATCCGACATTATTTCTTATTGCTATAAACGTTATTTCTACTAATAGGTAATAGGTATTTAAATTACTGTCCTTATTTTTTTTTAGTTAATAATATCCAACCTAGATGGAGAAGTCACCATCTTTCTTTCGGGAGACTTCCCAAGCTAGACAGGTCGTTATTAATTTCACAGTTTGAGAAAAAGAACACACCGATAGCGACTGAAAAATGTGTACCAACTAAAAATAAAATTGAAAAAGGTCAGATAAAAGATGAAAGAAGGTTTGAGTGTAAGCTACTTCCTTAAAAAAAATTCGATCGTGAAAGATGTTTTATAAAGCTACAATATGATTAAAACAATTTAAAAATTACAAACAATTTGTTTGTTTTTGTAGGTTTTTTTTCTCAAAATATGATAAATCTGTAACCTTTGGCCCTGAAATTTCCGTGAGGATTCAAAAAAAAAAAAGAAAAAAAAAAAGGAAAATATGAGAAAGGTCACACGTACCCAGACAAAAGGAAAAAAAATATGTTTATTCATTATTGTTTTTCTCTTATCATTTTTTTTTTTTTTTTTGGTGGGGGAGCAAGGGTGACACAGACTAATGAACCATGTGGGGAATTTGAAAAAAAATATGGCTTTTATTTTGGGGAAACGTCCAGCCCGCCTTTTAATTATTGATATTTATTTGTTTTGTGTCAGGACATTTTCTTGCAAGACCGACACTGAAAGTCACATTTTAGATTCAACCTACCATCCAACCGCTTCCCGCACATTGTTTTTCTTTCTGTCGTTTTTTTTTTTTTCTGTCTTTATTACATTTCTTTAATTTTTGCATAATTTTAATTATCATTTTATTCTGCTTTTTGCTTTAGCGTTTTTATACATTTTATTTTACTTTCTTTTTTTATCCAATTTTTCTACGTTTCTTTTCCTTTTCTGTCTGAATTTTTCTAATTTTTACAGGTTTTTTTTTCACTTGCATTCCGTTTTCTTTCGTCTTTCACAATTGTATTAATCATTTTCCTTTCTGTCTTTTTTTTTTTACGATTTTTCTTCCTCATTATTTTCTGTCTGTCTTTCCATCTCCCGCGTTTTTCCTTTTTTTTTCTAAGATACATCTCACGCTATCATTCTTCTTTTGTTTCTTTTTTCACGCTTTCTTTCATTATTTTCCGATTTCTTTCTTTTTCTATCGCCTACTTTATTTATTTCTTTATTTAGAATTCTTTATGTATTTTTCATGCGTTTTTTTATCTCCTCCCGCGACCTTATTTCTTTTCTCAAGTTTTCCTTTTTTAAACACAAGATTTCTTTCCATCTTTTTCTTTTTACTTCTCTTTTTCGTTCTTTTATTTCCTTCCTTCCTGCCTTCCTTTCCTTCTTTCTTTTTTCTTTTTTTTCTTTCCCACATATTTCATACCAACGCTCTGTTTCTCATCTTCTATACATTGCTTTTTTTCATCATTCTTTTTTTTTTATTATTTTAACCCATTAATAGCCATATTATCCGACTCAAAGATTAAATAATTACCCTCATTTATCTAATCATTTTCCTTGCTGTCTCTTTCTTTTATTCTTTGTCTCTATTTTTCATTTTCTTTGACTTTCTCTCCCATTCTTTCGCTTTCTTTCTTTCTCTCTATTTTGACCTTTTATCGTATGTTTTTTCTCTATTTCTTTGTATTTATTTATTTTTTCTCTGTGTTTTTCTTTCTTTCTCTTTTTCTCTCTTTCCCGTTATGTTTTCTCTCTTAATACCTCTTAGTGTCTATCCGTCCACTAATTGGTTTGTTTACTGCTCTATTATTTTCTCCCTTTTGTTCTCTCTTCATTTTTCTCTTTCTTTCTTTCTTTCTTTCTTTCTTTCTTTCTTTCTTTCTTTCTTTCTTTCTTTCTTTCCTTCTTTTTCTTTCTTTGCTTCTTTCTTTCTTTCTTTCTCTTTCGTTCTTTCTTCCTTCCTTTCTCTCTATTTCTCAATATCTTTTGCTTTCTTTTTAATATCAATGCTTTTTTTACTGATTAACTATCTACCTATTGGTTTATTTGCATGTCTCTAATGCGCTAATATTTCCCCTCTTTCCATCTCTCTTTCTGTTTATCTCCTTTTCTCTCTATCCTTTTCTTTATTTTGCTGATTTCTCTCTTTCTTCCTATCTCTATTATTCATATTCACTCTATCTTTCTCGCTTACTTTTACTTTCTCTTTTTTCTCTTCTTTTTTCTTTTCTTTCTCTCTTTCTCTCACTCTCTCTATTTGACGTTTATTCTAATGTATTTCCCTTCTTCTTTCTACTTCTTTCTTTTTATCTCTCTCGTTCTTTGTCATTCTCCCTCCCTCTCGTTTTGTTTTCATTCTCAATATATTTTAGGTCTGTTTACATGTCTCTTATTCGCCATTATTTTCCTCGTCATATTCTCTTTCTCTTTAGATTCCTCTCTCTCTTTTTTCCCACCTTCTCACTTCCTTTCTCTTTGTTGTTTTCCTTTTCTCTCTCTTTATTTTTGTCTTTAATATCAATACTGTTGTCTGTCTGTCCGTTCCCTAACTGGTTTATTTACTTGTCTCTTATTCGTTAATATTACCCCTCTTTCCTTCTCTATTTCTTTTTATTTCTGTTTCCATCTCTCTTCCTCCATTTCTTTATCTCTTGCTTCCCTTTGCTTTTTCTTTCCTTTTTCATTATCAATAGGTTTTCTGCCTATCCTTCCGCCAATTTGTCTTCGTCATCATTTTCTTTCTTTCTTTCTTTCTTTCTTTCTTTCTTTCTTTTTCCTCACTATATTTCCCTCTCTCTTTCACATTTTACTTTTCTCTCTTTTTTAATAAGTTTTTTTTACTATCTCTCCACATATTGATTTCTTTGCATGTTTCTTCGCTAATATTTCAACAATTTCTTTTTCTTTCTTTTTGTAACACTTTCTTTCTTTTTCTCGTTTCCATTCTTTTTTCTCCTTTTCTATATCTTTCCATCTCTCTATATGTGTTTCCTTCTCTCTTTCGCCTTTTCGCTTTCTTTTTTCACTATCAATAGGTTTTTCTGTCTATAGGTCCGCCAAGTGTTTGCATGCGCGTCACTTCGTCGTAATCATTTGTTGTTTCCTTCTTTCTTCATGTCTTTCTTTCTTTCTTTCTTTCTTTCTTTCTTTGTCCTTTTCCCTCCGTCTTTATTTTTTCCTATCACTACGTTTTCTGTGTAACCGTCCGCCAATTGGTTTGTATGCATGTCTATTCGTCGCCATTATTTCCGCAGTCTCTGTTTACTTCTTTCTTTCTTTCTTTCTTTCTTTCTTTCTTTCTTTCTTTCTTTCTTTCTTTCTTTCTTTCTTGTTCCTTTGTATCAATACGTTTTTTGTGTAACCGTCCGCCAATTGGTTTGTATGTATGTCTATTCGTCGCTATTATTTCCTCAGTTTCTTTCTTTCTTTCTTTCTTTCTTTCTTTCTTTTTGTTCCTTTTTTTTTATCAAGACGTTTTCTGTCTACCCGTCCGCCAATTGGTTTGTTTGCATGTCTCTTATTCACCACCTCGTCCATCTAAACATTTTATTATCAGCTATTCTTTCCACATCCTTCTTTTTTTTCTTTTCTTATTAAATTGTCAGACCCAAGAATGACTCAATTGTATTTTGGCTATTGTTGTTCCTGTCTTTTCTTCCAGTTTATTTTCAACGTTCCTCCAAGAACAACGAGGAATCGCCATTCCAACCTGACCCGAATGCTAAGAACTGTTTTTACTTGTTCGTGCATTATTTACACTTTTTCGGCCATTTTCCTATCCTCCCTATGCATTTAGAGAAAAGTAATTAGAGACAAGAAGATATTCTATACGAGATATGGGGTTTAATGGGGATGTTTCTCCGTTGCGGAAGAGCAGCAGACTGGATTTTACAATCGATGTAAAATGTAATTTGGCTAAGACAAGTATAAAAATAACAGACCAATTTCTGAACGACATTGCCCACCTCTTGAACATAATTTAATTAAACCTTGAAATTTGTTTGTGACGTTAAATCGAACTTTTTAGTAAAACTATTTAGGTTTCAAAAAAGGCTTTTTGGATTTATATGCCAATCAATCATATTCTGTTCACATATATAAAGTTTGGTTTTGCATAATTCCAAAGAGTCGAATTATTTTTGTTTCTCCTGTATTCAAAACATAAGGAGAAAATTCTACTTTATGGAACTGTTTCGGTAAATGCTTCCCTGAACACTGCAAAATAGACCATTTCAAGTCAAGGATCAATCGTTATGTAGTCTCTTCATCTGCTTAATTTTTAATTGTTCTAACCTCTTTAATCCCTATCAAACAATCGATAAATCATCCCATTTTAACAGTAACCCTTTACATAGAGTGTTACTCACGCCTAGCACTGGGGGAAATTTAGAATAAAAATAATCTATTTAAATTTATCTGCGACAAAAATTGTGCAGATCAATTTAAACAGCATAAGTTCTCTATCACAGCTTGTTCATATATATATATATATATATATATTTAAATAAATAATTATATATATATAATTATTTATTTAAAAATATGATTCCAACGCTACATAAGAGTTCTCATATTTCAAAACAAGAACCGAAAACTTCAATATAATTATTTGAATTAAATTGAATTAAAGTACCAAACACTGTTCCATCTTCAATGATGATTACCAAAAAAATTTCGCTTGAAGATGAAACAGAGCTTGGTACTTTAATTCAATTTAATTCAAATAGTTATATTGAAGTTTTCGGCTCTTGTTTTGAAACATGAGAACTCTTATGTAGCGATGGAATCATATTTTAAATAAATAATTATATTTAGGCTCTACTTTTTTATCGAGCACTATTTTTTTATAAATAATAACAAAAAATACTTAAGAACTTTGGATTATTTACCTAACGAGTTCTTTCCTATATATTTTACACACACACACACACACACACTATATATATATATATATATATATATATATATATATATATATATATATATATATATATATATAGAAAAAATATACGGAAAAAACAAACAAAAAATCCTAATATGCAATTATGCTGTTTTAATGTTAATATAATGTCAACGTCGGACGTTTCGGTCTAATAGACCATCTTCAGGACATATTTATAAAACATAATTAACATAGACCATATTTAATTCAACATGAAAAAGACGATGGACATAAAAGCAATATGCTGAAGATGGTCTATTAGACCGAAATGTCCGACGTTGACATTATATTAACATTAAAACTGCATAATTGCATATTAGGATTTTTGTTTGTTTTTTTCCGTATATTAGTCTTCATACTGTCGGATCTATATCCATATATTTGCTTACATATATATATATATATATATATATATATATATATATATATATATATATATATATATATACATATATATATATATATATATATATAGATAGATAGATAGATAGATAGATAGATAGATAGATAATAGATTCCAAATAAATGCGATATCTAAGATTTAAAATGGATTTTAAAAATGAAAGAAATCTTCTTTCGTGAATTTTTATTTTAGTTTTAATCTCAAGCTAATAGATTAAATTTAATATTTCCAATAAACAAAACCCTCTGAGTGTATCGCCGATCAAGCAATGTCGAATAGTGTCTTCTAAGCGCAAATCCTTCTCAGATTTTCATAAATATAAACAAAGAAGATTCTAAGATGCATGTTTCAAAATGTATTAACGCAATAGATACTCTATAAATAAAAATCAATCCATTGTACACGTTGGAAAGTTATGACTGAAAAGCATCAGTCCAGATATATAGGCAAGACTTCATATTTGGTCTGATCTGACACTTGTAAAGATAGATCATGGAAGGAGGGGTCAGGTATTTCCAGGAATAATACGAGGAACCGACCATTTGTCTAATACCTTTCCAATACATGTTCCAATTGTGGCCTGAAATGAGCTTTAGTCCCAAGAAGCGTTCGAGGTAAAAAGTTTCACTGAGAATACAGCCGCTCGTCAGAACTGGAGTAAATTTAAGGTCTGCTCGGTGCTGATGAAACGGTACTAGGTTGATATTAGAGATATTAAATGACACAAGTCAGTCTTTCCCCCATTGAGCTATGAGAGCTAGGTCAGCGCAGAGATCAGCTTTCACACTCTGGTCATTTAATTTTTTGGAGGTTCACGCATATACCTTGGTATTACCTGCATATATATTAACTTGTTGTTGCCACTGCTGTTCTAGAACCAATTGTAGGTTTTTCACAGAAATGACAGTTTTAAAATGGTTTCTTTGTTTCCTTACGCTTACATGCAGATAAAAACAAACTCGACGTCTAATAAAATTCAACTCATAAAACGAAGATAAGAAAAAAATGTCGAAGTTGCCAACCAACTGTACGGACTGACATCTCGTTTGCTCTCTGCTACTTCTACTCTCAATCATAGACTGTCTATGTGCAGATTACGGCCATATAGCGTTGAAACATCGGTTCCCGTACCATAAGCGAAGTTAAGCAACGTGGGGGCTCGTCAGTACCTAGATGGCAGACGGCTTGAGAATACCAGATGCTGTAAGCTTGGATGTGGTGTAACGGATAATATCTCAGAATTATTGATAGGAGAGCCGAGTTACAATTCCACTTGGGTTCGTTATATTCAGGTAGGCACATGTACCCTTGGGGACGCCATTTATCGACCCTTTGTTGGTTATTTAAAAATGAAACATATTTTTGGATTGTATGAATAATTCATTTTTTGCAAGTGAATATTGCATGAACAATATTTGGAGATAACAATGATTTCTTTTTCAAATATAAATTTTGTTAGTTAATCCATAGGTGGGAAGAATAGATGGATTATTTTTTCCCAGGGTTATTTACACGAAGGCGATTGTAATGAAATCGACCGAAATTCGAACTCGACTCTTTAATATCCCATTCTTAGACGTTATCATAGCACCATCTGCACATCCTCGCGCAGTGTGTACTTGGCGAGACACAATTGAGCAGTACTAAATAAAAAAAAAAAAACAGACGAGATATTCCTAAATAAGTTACTGACTTTTATCTCTAGTGTTACAGACATCATTATCGCCGATATGAAACTGTTCTGACCCGAGAATAGAGATAGGCTAATGACTTATCAATTTGAAACACCGATTTCCCTCCGATCAGCGAAGTTAAGCAACGTCGAGCCTGGCCAGTACCTAGACAGGTGACCACTTGGGAAAACCAGGTGCTGTAACTTTGGATGTGCAGGTGGTGTAATGGTCTCGACATTGTTAATCGGAGAGCCGAGTTCAAATTCCAGTTGGGTTCGTTATATTCACTTGAGCGCAAATACCCTTAGGAATAATATGAATCCACCTATTCTCCCCTCATTAATTAGTAAGACTTTTATCCCCAAATCATTCTCCCTAAAATATTATTCCAATCTAAAAATATTTTCTGGCTTTAAATAACCTGAAATATATTGAGAAGCCGTAAAAAACGAATCAATCTATCATGTTTATGAGCAAATTAGTGCTCGTGAAGGATTTAAAGAATATACTTGAATTTCATGATGATTTTCTTAGATAATATGAATGGCAAAATTTGTAAGTGCTTTATTTATATTCAAATATACCTTCATAAACTTTTGGGGATTAGAACACAAATAATTCATACAGAAGTATCTTATTCTCATGACTGTCTTGTTAAATTAAAATGTAATGCATATCCAATGAATTTCAAGCTTATTTTTTACTGCTTTATCCAAAGTTACGAACTACGAGTTTGAGATGACAAAACCAATCAAGTACGAAAACTGAAATAGCTGGGAAGTGTTTCAATAGAGTAAGAAAAATATGACACCGAAATATGAAGGCGCTTTAGAATAGCGAAACCTAAGCAAAATATTAGGAAACAGGAGAATATCGTTAGAAACAAAGAAAAGCGTGCTGGACTCTTATGTAATATCGAACGTCTTACATGGCAGTGGATGCTGGCAGGTTGGTTGATTTTGTTTAGTGGAATATCAACAACTTTTATTTAATGCCAAAATCTAAATATTTTGTACACAATTTGAAAACTTAATTGTATACCTTCAACTACATATAAAATGTACTGTTGGTGATTCTACCATAGATATAGGTATTGTTACTAATTCTTCCATAAATAGGTATTGTTGCTAATTCTGCATTAATAGGTAATTTTGCTAATTCTGCCATGAATAGGTATTATTGTTAATTCTGCCATAAATAGGTATTGTTCCTAATTCTGAAATAAATAGGTATTGTTGCTAATTCTGTAATAGATTGGTATTGTTGCTAATTCTACCATAAATATGCATTGTTGCTAATTCTGCCATAAATCGGTATTGTTGCTAATTCTGCCATAAATAGGTATTGTTCCATCTCAACCATAAATAGGTATTGTTGCAAAGTCTACCATAAATAGGTATTGTTGCTAATTCTGCCATAAATAGGTTTTGTTACTAATTCTGACATAAGTAGGTATTGTTGCTAATTCTGCTATAAATACGTATTGTTGGTAATTTTTTTTTATATACAAATATATTGTTAGTATTTTTACTATAAAAATGTATTTTTAAACTTTCATTGTGTTTTGCTTTTTGGGGGAAGTTTATTATTTACCCATATCTGGAATGCTAACAGGTGCTACCACACCGGGTTAGGGTGGACCTATGAACAACAGCAATTAAGAGCTGGTTTCACACACCACAAAAACTCCCCGATCAGAGGCCTTGCTGCAGGATATAGTTTATTGTCATACCCAGTAGTAACTGAATGCTGGATAATCTATTCATAGATTTTGGAGAGACTTGAGGCAACAGAGATCTACAGAGTGGCCCGAAAGTCTTGTCACCCCTACAAAATAATTTTCAGATGGCTGACGCGAAAATGATGACGTTTATACAGACTTTCTCGATGGGTGACAGCGTCAGTGAAAGTGAATAAACTGAATCCAGCCCATGTTCTTTGTATTACTGTATTATTTGTTGTTCTATTGTGCTCATTACTTTGGCGTATGGGGTGACAACACTTCCGGACCATCCTGCACATCTCTCCTGTACAGAAAATGGGGGATCGATTTTCTATTGTTATTATGTAGTAAATTGATCCCCCCTATGGAAAAACGATTAATATACAATTTATATATATTAATGACCATACTGGACATGAAATGGGGGATCAGTTTTCTGTTGTTATTAAGTAGTAAATTGTTTCCCTACAAAAAAATGATTAATATAAAGCGTGGTCCGAAAGTCTTGTCACACATGTATAATATAATTCTCTATTTCCGATGGCTGACACGAAATTGATGGTGTTCAAACAGACCTTCTCGATGTATAATCGGCGTCAATGAAAGTGAATAAACTAAATCTTGTACATGTGCATTGTATTACTGTATTACTTCTTGTTTTATTGTTCGCATTACTTTTTCGTTTGTGGGGGTGGAAAGACTTTCGGACCACACTGAAGTTCCGCTAACAGCGTGGATGGATCATACAAGAAACGGGTAAGTTCCAAGAACAATGGAAAGAAAAAGGACACTTATACTTAGTTGAAATTTCTAGGATACATAATGAGGAAAGAGGGTTTGGAAAATTTGACACTCACAGGATGTACTGAAGGCAAGGGAGAGAGGAAAGCAGCAAGTAACCTTCCTGTAAATGGATGGCGGAATAAGGACAAAGACGTATGGCGAAAAGAAAACTTTACTAAGAACTGTAAAATATAGTGATTTTCTAAGCGATGCTTAGATGTAGCACAAGGCCGGAAGTATGGAGCACCCAGTGAGAATCGAACTCGCTACTCAGTCGTAATATGTTCTAGCGAGACACGCTTGATAACCATTACACCACGCCGAGGTTCCCAAAGAACTGTAAAATATAGGAAGCTGTTGAGGGTCTTGTTCACCCACGTCCTGCAAAAGAAGAAGAAATGAATTTAAAGCATCAATATTATTTGGAAGAAAAAGATTAAATAGAAGTGAATCAGAAATATAATACTTCTTTTTTTATGTCCTTTCAGCACATTGACAATCATGGCTCTCCACAAACCTGAAATATTTTGTAAAATATCAAAAAATGAAAAAAAAAAAACAAGGATGAAATATAAGACCAATGTATAAATTTGAAAGAACCATTTACTTTTTTAATATTTACTTAATCATTTCGTAGCTGCAGTGACTAGATGTAACCGTAAGTTCTATGTTAATAGTTTCTTCTTTCAGACTTCACGCTTGTGGAACTCTTTTCTGGCTTCTTGCTTTCCTCTTTGGTACCTAGACTTTAAATGAATTTAAGCCCAGTAATAGAGTGGAAGCTAGGTCTCATTATTTTACAGTTGAAATGGCTAGATGTAGCTATAAGTTAATATTCTAATAGTTCTTTTCTCTAACACTACTTGCTTGTAGAACTCTCTACCGGCTTCTTGCTTTCCAGCCAACTTTGATGTTCAAAAATTTAAATGCAATCATCTTCTGTCTTTTTAATTCATGTTCCTTTCTTTTTTTTCGTTCCTTAATATTTTTTTTCTTTTTACTTATATTCTTTCACACTCAGTAACTGCTGTGTCTTAGTGGTTTTGTTGCTGTTGTGGGGCTCTCCCCTTTATACATAAGATGGACTCGTCCAAACTATACTTATACGGACAGAGAGAACACCCGCAGTTGAGATACGTTGAGATACGTTGAGACAGGTTAAGAGATACGGAGACAGACACAGGGTGTTCTCAGAGAGTTATACAAGAGTCCAGAGAGAGAGATGATAGCAGCTTTACTTACAGAGACTTGTACATATACTTTCTACTAACCCGCATTCCTGGACTACTAATCTTCACTTCAAGTCGGTATTCTTATGTTTAATACACTTATTTTTCTATCTCCATTACTGGTGTTGTTTATTTATTTGTGCAGGATTCCATTCACGAAATTCACAATAGTTGCCTTGCTTTGGATGAAATCATTTAAAGAAAAATGTAAGAACCTCTGAAACGAGAAAATCTCTTAAAAATTTAAAGAGAATCACCATTTGATTCACAGGAAGGAGATGGAATATGTATATTGAAATTCAAATTTATTTATACTATTTATGTTATAAATAGTTGTCGTCGGCCGGGTTTATCTATTAACCAATAATCTAATTTCTGCTTTGCTGATCGTTTCCTTTTTAATGATTTGTGTTTGACGGCTAAATTCTCCGACAACGTGCAGATAAAGATTCCAGTTTGACCAAAATCTGCACTCGTCATATATTCCCTATCTCTGTTTGGCTTTGCAAGCTTTGGTTGGAGGTGAAAAAAATAAATCAGAGTAGAAAAAAGTGCCGATGGCGTCAATTTGTTTAAAGTGGACCTCAGCTTGTTAGGAAGTGACCCACATACTTTATATCATGACCTTCCTCTACGGCAAGTATGGAGTGGAACATGCAGAATAGAGTTATGAAACTGCAATGATCTGACGCTAACTCTGTTATAATACCGAATAGTGAATTTCCATGGTGCGTAGACCCTTCATCCGCTGGTTTCACCGTTGAGACAAAGCGCGACTAACGCCAAATAGAATTTACTATAGAGATACGAGGGAAGTTGAAGAGGTTTAATATTTCTAATGAACCAATCAAAATGCAACATACTACACAGAAGACTACATTTATTATTGACTGGCTTATATTTGTTCTTTTTCGTGGAAGCGCTCCTTACGAGGATCGGTCTCTCACTTATTACCGCTCTCTACCTCTCTCTGTCTCTGTTTCCTACCAAACTATATAATATTAGCCATATATATATATATATATATATATATATATATATATATATATATATATATATATATACATATATATATATATATATATATATATATATATATATATATATATATATATATATATTTATATATATATAATATAATAAAACATTTGAAGTAATATAGCTAATATTATACATTAAAAAATATATATATATATATTATATTTATATATACAAAAATATATAAAATAACATTTTAAGTAATATGTATATATTAAGATTAACAAAGATTCCAAAACAGTGATTATACGTAAATATATATATATATATATATATATATATATATTATAAAATTCCCAGATGAAGTCTGTGGACAAGACAGATTGGTATCAAATGACAATTGGAAAAATCATACATTTTGCCGACGCGTTTCGTCTTCCGACTTTTTCAAGGCAAAAATGAAATCGAAATGTTTTTGCTGTTATAGTTACATTAAAATTCAAAATTAAAAGATAGACGCTTGTGTCTAAGCCTTTTTTCTGGTTAATGTATATATATATATATATATATATATATATATATATATATATATATATATATGTATGTAAATATACTCAGCTGTATATGTATAAGAGACAAAATGAATATTTATCAGCGTCTCTTAATTAAAAAGATTTTGAGTAACTAACACCATTTTGCTTTTGTTTATAGATATTTTTAGTAAATAAAACTGTCATATTTGCCTTGATAATGACGAAAGTATAGTTTTTCCTCTTGTCTTTTTATTCATATATATATATATATATATATATATATATATATAAAGAAAGAGAGAGAGAGGGAGAGAGAGAGAGGGAGAGAGAGTGAAATACAAAAACTGACAAAAGTGAAAGTGATTTATATTTTATATAAAGGTCACACTTTCTTCCTCTTTATTACTTTCTTTTGATAGATAGATAGATAGATAGATAGATAGATAGATAGATAGATAGATAGATAGATAGATAGATAGATAGAAGTCACAAATAGAATTATACCAGGATAAACAATCCTATATGGAATGAGGTTCTTATTAGTGCATTTAATTTAAAAACTTGTGAAAAAGAAACCCATGGTGCCTCTTCAGAAGCTGATGGCTTCGAAATTGCCTGCCTCCCTTGGTTTAGCCTGAGGGGAGATAGTTTCTATGTGGGGCGCTCTAACGTGAAAGGAAACATTTTCGAGTGAAATATAAAATGGAATGACAAAGGAATCTCAGGAAAAGAATCAACGTACAGAAACATCGCGAAGAAGGTTTGGAATGTCAGGCAAAAAGGTACATTTTAAGCAATATCACTCGGACTTTAGAAGAGATGCGTTTTACGAACGTTGCGCGAATGTGAATTAAATATTAATAAATTCTTTTACTTCTTCTTCTTCATTATTATTATTATTATTATTATTATTATTATTATTATTATTTCACTATTATTATTATTTTTATTTTTATTTCATTTGATTTCTGGCGTTTACACATTTCTTTCCGGGTCCCGCCCAGGGACCTAAGGTTAGAAATGGTATCATGACACTTTCCACTGACGAAAAAAAAATTACATAGATAAAGCCCTTCGTAAAGTGTGAGAACAATGTTTTGTATCTCTTTGAGGCATGGACTTCCAGGAATCCCTTCCGTTAGTCTACTGGAATCTTTTCCAATCAATCCTAGGGCTACAACTACAACAGGGATTGTTGATGTTCCCATATTCCACATTTGTGAGATTTCGATTTAAAGGTCCTTGTATTTTGACAGCTTTTTGAATATCTTCAAAGATACATTGCAGTCAGCAGGGACTGCCATATCAATAAAGAGGCACTTTATTTGTTTGTGGTCTTTAATAACAATGTCTGGGGGGTTGGCTTTTATTGTTCTTTATTATTATTATTATTATTATTATTATTATTATTATTATTATTATTATTTCCTTTGATTTCTGGTGTGTGCACTTTACTTTGCGGGTCCCACTCTTGAGACCTAAGGTTAGAAATGACATCATGAGACTTTCCACTGACAGAAAAAAAATATAAAAATATTTTACATAGATAAAGCCCTCCGTAAAGTGTGGGCTGTACTTGTGAGAACAATTCTTTTGTATTTCTTTAAGGCATGGACTTCCAGGAATCCGTTCAATTAGTTTTCTGGAATCTTTTCCATCCAATCTGAGGGTTCCAACTACAACAGAGATTGTTGTTGTTCCCATGTGCCACATCTTTGAGATTTCGATTTCAAGATCTTTATATTTTGATAGCATTTTGAAGATCTTCAAAGATACATTGCAGTCCACAGGGATTGACATATCAATAAGGGGCTCTTTTTTGTTTGCGGCCTCTAATAACAATATCTGGGCCTTATTATTATTATTATTATTATTATTATTATTATTATTATTATCTAGCTGTTTCTCCTGTGTTAGCATGTTTGCTTAATCTTTCAAACTAAACCCTTCTCATGAAGAAATCATTATTATTGTTGTTGTTCATTCATGCATTCTTTGCATATTTCTTCTTCTTCTTCTTCTTCTTCTTATTATTATTATTATTATTATTATTATGAAAACCAAGCATCGTTATGGCCTAGCGAGTTTAAATTCTTTAATTGTTATTTTTTTAGGTTCATCTGATCTTGATTCTCATGCAATGCCGATCGTTATCTTCTGTCTTTTTAATTTCTTACATTGTTCTCACTCGTTAATGTTTTTCCCCATATTCTTTTACACTCAGTAAACCCACTGACTGTTAGTGGCTTTGTTGCCTTCCTCAAGATGAAAAGATTATAAATTAAAAAAAAATAACATGTGATATGATTCTTCAGACTTATCCCAGACGGTTCTACACCGAGATCGTCACCCCATGGAAATATTATCAAGAAACCAATTCTTTGAAAAAATCGCTGAGAGTGAGAATTGAACGCGATCCTCGTGGTCGGAACGCCCACGGTTCTAACCATTCGGTCCATTTAAATTCATATAAAGAAACTGTTGTTGATCATATTTTAGATGATTTTATTATATTTCTGGAAAAATTGAATTTTATTCACAGGTGTTATTCGACATTATGTTACGTTCCAAAAAGAAAAAAAAGAAAAGAAAAAAAGTTTTAGATAAAATAATGAAGTGCCGTGAACAGAAAAATCTAGTTATTGGATTACGGGTTGTTTTCTTTTTATCTTACTTTTTTTCTTGATATTCCTGGATCATGATTTTATTCCTTTTGACAAGCAGCTCCGTTAAGACATGGTGCTTTTTGACAAGAACATGACATGTTACTATATAGCTACTACTCTGCACATGTGTTGCTTTATGATATGAAAACAAAACCCAGGTTCGTTATTACTTCTTTTTCGTCAGTCAGCTCCGTTGTCATTGGTGCAATAAGATTGAAAAGAATCAAAAGAGAAAGGTTATGACCTGGAAATGTTATTATAGACGATGTTATAGCGCCACATTGTGGTGGCTCTTTGCAAGAAAGGAAAACATTTGGCTTAGCTTAATTCTGTCCAGGAAAATAGACACAATGGATGCTTTGGAGATTTAATTATTTTCTTTGTTGTTAAACAAGAAAGAATTACTGTTCACATATCCTTTAATAAAGTTGTTTTATTTTTTTTTAACAGAGAAAAATTATAAAAGTAAATGAAATTTTTTGTATTTATTAATAACGGTTAACAAAATACGTAGTTGGCGCTTATTACACACACACACAATATATATATATATATATATATATATATATATATATATATATATATATATATATATATATGTGCCGAGTGTAGCAGCAAAATTGTCCAAATCGTGTAACAGCATAATTATCCATCCCACAAAATGTTTAATATCTAAAAAAAAAAAAAAAACACTAAAAAATTTGAGTTTCTTTTTTACAGGTTACCAATCTTGACACCATTTTTCGTAAGAGTCAAGGAAAAACCCTTTCAGTTATTCAGCTAAAAAGAGAGCAGGTGAAAATTGTTTTTGTCAGACCCACTGTCTTCTCAACTGAGCAATGGTGAGAGGAAAAAAGATCATTCAGGCTTTCAGTAATAGTACCAACAGTCCACTCAAGAACCATCAAGAGACCGGTGAATAAGTTTTTAAAAGAGGGAACAGTAGAGAGGAAAACTGGATCAGGAGGTCACAACAGGAAGAGGGATCATCATTTCAACTTAGAGCTAAAGAGATCAATTAGAAAAGATCCAACTCAATTCATAAGACGTTTGGCACAGTAAAAGGAGACTTGTAAATGAAATCGTACGTCCGTCCTGCGTATGACGATAAACTACATCCGCGTCCTGAGTAAGAGGATAAATTACGTCCAACAGCAACACTTCTGATCAGACTGTGGTAAAAACAATATTGTTGAAACTTGACTAATGCATGGAATAATAATGCAACACAAAATGTACTTAAAACAAAATGTATTGAAACAAGAAAGTGTACACAATATTTACATTGAGTCTTTTGTATATTCCTGGTAAGACCGTTCCTGGAGAATGTGTTGACTGAGTCGCAGTCGGGCAGAGTCTCTGGTTGAATCTCTTGATTCCTCCCTCTCTTCCCGGTAACAACCATATTTATATGGTCGGTACTCCACTATGCAAATTAGGTGGATCCTACCACAACAAATATGAAAATGTAAAAATAGGATTTAATACCAGAAATACTTTGTGAAAAATTATTACCAGCAATACATTTTTGAAAAAAAATATTACCATCTGTACATTTTTTGAAAAAATTATTAGCAAAGATATAATTTTGACGAAAAAATATTATCAGTAATAGATTTTTGAAGAAAAACATATTACCAGAAATAGATGTTTTGGAGGAAAACAATATTATCATAATTACATTAAAAAAAAAATATTGCCAGTAATAAAAAAAATTGTCGGCATTAAATAACCCATTGAGGTTGATATACCGTAAAACAAACCAAACCAATCACCTTTGGTATTATCTCATAACGATGTAACCATCATGTCACAGGTGTTTCTGTGTGTGTTTGTGTGTGTGTGAGAGAGAGAGAGAGGGACAATGAAGAGTGCTTAGTCAAAACAATGTTTATAATGGTTTTATATAATCAATTATATTTAATCCCATGTTATTTTTTATTGATCGATTCGTTTTCTACGGCGTATCAACATTTTTCAAGTTATTTAAAATTAAATTGTATTTGTAGATAGTAAGATTTATATATTTATTTTTTTAGATAATATAGTTTCAGAGATGCAAGTTTTACTAATTAACCCATACATGGGGAGAAAAGAGATAGATTCATACATTTCCCAACAGTATTTGTGCGTAAGTGTATAAAACGAACCTAACCGGCACTGGAACACGGCTCTCCGATTAACAATTCCAAAACATTATCCTTTACACCACCCGCTCATCCAAGATTACAGCACCTGGTATCCCTAAGGGTTCACCCATCTAAATACTGACCAGACCCGACATTGCTTAATATCGTTGATCGTACAGGAACCGATGCTTCAACGCGATGTGGCCGTAAGGAAAGGAAAAGGAGATGTGCACCGACAAATGAATTTAATTGTCCTTGAAATGATACGAATGGCAAATGTTGGGTAAGGTGAGGTGTGACACCCTTTTAGGCCATTTTATGTAATTCAACTGGACTGTAATTTGAACAATTATTTGATGTGTGAGAAGTTAAATTTCGTTTTCTTATCAGTCGTGGATGTCATTGTAAAACTGCAATATAATTTACAGCCAAGCATATATTTTACTTTAAACCACATTCTGCATTTCCAAATCGAAAGGAGGAGCAATAGCTGAGCATAAATAATAATAATAATAATAATAAATGCAGAACGGTAGTAAGGTAACCCCTTCATAGTCACTATTCTGCCCTTACCACTCAAACCGATGTAGACAAACCCGTAGCCATCAGTCGTTGCGTAGTGCTGGGTGAAAAAAATTGAAACCGAGGCTTTTATTCTTGCTGCGCAAGACCAATGCTTGCAAACTAGAAATTATCAAACACACACAGGGAAAAATTGTGTTAAACAAGAGGCCATATTCTGTGATAACTATTTCCAGAAACTATTTACTATCTTGTATTTTATTGCATGGAGGTATTACCGAATGAATATAAAACTCGTCATGACAGAGTAGGTTCATATGTGCATTGGAAAATCTACAATTTTTACGGGTAAGAAACTGCAAGAAACTCGTATGAACATCACCCGGACCCGGATACAGACATTAAACCAGTAACGATTTAATGAGACTTTACAATACACACCAACAGAACAATGAAAGCTAATCGCCCAGACTTCGTGATCAAAGACCGCAAAAACAGAATATGTTTTCTTATTGACATGGCAGTTCCTGCAGACTGTAATGTATCTTTGAAGATCTTCTAAACACTATCAAAATACAAGTATTTTAAAGAGAAAATTTAAAAAATGTGGCACATGAGGACATCAGTAATTCCAGTTGTAGTTGGAATACTCGGTTTGATTGTAAAAGGTTCCGATAGACGCATTGAAGGGTCCCTGGTAGAACATGCTGTTACGGTTTTTTGGGTATATACCGTGTGTAACTAGTGAGCGAGTCAGAATGACTTATTTCCCTTTATAGTCGACCAATAGAAGGTTGACCAATCAGAAGCCGCCCAACACTGTACTCATAGTGTATAAAGGCGGCCATCTTGTTTCCTCCTACCGGAAGGACCAAAGGCGAAGGACGAACTACACTCTGCTGTGATATCCACTGCGAACCTCCACTACGCTTTCCTACTGTCTCCGAAATATTCACTGCCAACCTCTGGATGCGATACTCGAGGACGACCGTCATAAAAATGTCTAACACATGCTACCCACAAGTAAAGCTCAGACCTTACGAACGTCCTTAACTATGTAAAATGTGAGTAGTCTTAGGCGATTTGTCTTTTGTAAACAAACATAATCAGTTGAAAAAGTCATGAGGCTATTTCTGACCGTTATGTGCCTGGCTGGACCCCGGAACTAAATGGGTATACAACAGAAATCAAAGGAAATAAATAAATGAATAAATAATAATAATAATAATAATAATAATAATAATAAAATACTTAAAATAACAGCAAAGTTGAATGCAACCGACCAGATACAGAAGCGATGGCAAGATAAACCGCTTCATGGCCAATACTCTGCCCGTACCAAACAAGCTGACGTAGACAAAACCCGTACCCATCAGTGGCTACGTAGTGCAGGGTTGAAATCTGAAACTGAAGGTTTTATCCTTGCTGCATAGGACCAATGCTTGCTAACTAGGAATTATCAAGCACATATACTAAAATATTGTGTCATCCCAAAATGCAGATTCTGTGATAAATATCCAGAAACGATTGATCATCTTGTATCAGGTTGCACGGTGTTGGCACCCACTGAATATAAAACCCGGTATGACAGAGTGGACCAATATCTCCACTGGAAAATCTGCAACTTCTACGGGAAGGAAACTGAAAGAAACTGGTATGAACACCATCCAGACCCAGTTACGGAGATAGGACCTGTTACAATTCTATGGGACTACACAATGCACACTGACAGAACAATCAAAGCCAACAGCCCAGACATTGTTATTAAAGACCACAAACAAACAAAAAGTGCCTCCTTATTGATATGGCAGTCCCTGCTGACTGCAATGTATCTTTGAAGATATTCAAAAAGCTGTCAAAATACAAGTGCCTTGAAATAGAAATCTCGAAAATATGGCATATGGGAACATCAACAATCCCTGTTGTAGCTGGAGCCCTAGAACAGGTTGGAAAAGATTGCAGTAGACTAATTGAAGGGATTCCTGGAAGTCCATGCCTCAAGGAGATACAAAAATTGTTCTGACCAGTACAGCCCACATTTTACGAAGGGCTTTAGCTATGTAATATATATATATATATATATATATATATATATATATATATATATATATATATATATATTTGTCAGTGGAGAGTGTCATGATGCCATTTCTAACCTTAGGTCCTTAAGCGGGACCGGAAAGAAATGTGTAAAACGCCAGAAATCAAAGGAAATAAAAGTAAAAAATAATAATAATAATAATAATAACTACAACTAGATGATATATCTCTAGACATGGACCTCAGAATGTATATAAAATAAAGAGCTCAGTTCTAAATTCCTAGATTACCCGGATCCTCAATTACCTAATGACTCCCACAGCAACAAAGATGGGAAGTGAGCCAGTGTGTAACGTAATATCAGCCCTCCTATCTGGCAGTGAATACTGGACAATCTCTTCACAGATGAAGAAAAGACTTGAAGCAACAGAAATATGGTTCTACAGAAGGATGTTGAGGAAACCATAGCCCGAACTTGTGAGCAACGACAAAGTTTTAGAGAAAATGGAAACAAAATGTAAAATTATATTTAACATCAGAAGGCGACAGTTGAAATTTCTAGAATACATAATGAGGAAAGAGGGCTTGGAAAATTTGATACTCACAAGACAGATTGACGGTAAGAGGAACAGAAGAAATCATTATATCATATTAGTGAGCTTGAGTAAATGGATAGCGGAACAAGGTTTAGGCGAGATGAGAAATACAAAATTTATTAAAAGCTACAAGGGATAGGAAATTGATCACCTACTTCCTGAATGGACATGGCGTATAGAAGTAGAAATAATGATATATTTAAGTTGATTCGTATAATTAAGATGACTGCGGAGTGTTGATGGCTTAATGGCTGAGTGTTGATGGCTTAAGGATAGGAACTCTTATTGACGCCGAATCGGTCGGGTTTCGATCCAAACTCATCTTCTTTCCGAGTTCGAATTCCAGTCGAAACCATTACATTCACTTACGTGCTAATACCCTTGGGAAAGGTATGAATCCTCTTCTTCTCCCCACCACAGCTATGGGTAAATAGCAGGACAGATCAGGTTCTATTGTCTTGGATGGAAATAAATGGCAACCTATTGCGGGAAAAAAATCTGTCTCGTCAGTCATGTATCGAAAGATACTTGATCGCCTAAGCGTATATCATCATGACGCATGACTGACCATTAATTCCAATTCCAGATCATATTTTCTGTTTTGAGAAAGGTATGAATCCTCTTCTTCTCCCCCAGCCATGGGTAAATAGCATGACAGCCTGGTTTCTATAGCCTTGGATGGCAACTGATCCTTCCTCAGAAAGAAATGGGGGAAAAAATCTGCCTCGTCAGTCATGGCACATAAATGACTGAAGATGACTGCTGAAAAAAATTATCTACCCAACACATTTCCAGAATATTTTTTTTGAAAAGTCTTGAGAAATAATATGCCAATTATGTTAAACTCCGGTTTGAATGTGTTGAATAGAATATACGTTTCCTGGTTCGAGGTTATTATATGTCGTCAGACTCAGAACTTTTCCACTGTACTTCGGAGATACCCTTTAATTAATTGGACACATTTCAATCTGATTAATTCACAAAAACCAATAAACAATTCACATCGTCATTCACTGCGCGAAAAAGAAGAACATCACTGCACCCCCCTCTAACTATGCTATTAATTAAAATACGATGTAAATATTAAAACAAATTTATAATTTTAATTATCTCAAAAACGGTGAATCGTGATTAAATATTTCTGTATTATCAGCAACAACAAAAATAAACAATATATTTTCAACAAAGGCAGAATTAATAACGTTTGTTTTTTTTCTATTTATGATACAAAGTGTTTTTTAAATAAAAATAATTAATTTTACTGTTGTCTGGTTTAAACACAAATAATAGCAAGAGATCTAAACAAAATATCTACAAAACTGCATGAAATTGTTGGTATTATTCAAGCTGATCGCCCATAATCACACATGCAAATGAAAAGACAAGTTCAAATAGACATTTGATTAAAAAGATATCTTCGTTCTTCCGATTTCTAAAATAATGAATTCTTTCGGTCTATCTCTTTAAATTCAAGATGGTAAATAAAATTATAAGAAAAGGAAAAAACTTATTTATCAAAGATAATTGAAATATAGCAATAATTCTTGACCATTGTCAATCATTTTCTTGCTGATTTTAAATACATTTCTATAGAAAAATCATTATCAAAGAATTTAAATTATACTTCGTCGTTGTCGGCGGCGCCTGCTGTATATCGCATCCAAGAATCTAATTTCTTCTTCGATGATCGCTTCTTTTATGATGATAATGTTGATGGATACATTTACCGCCAACGTGAAGATTGAGGACTAGAAGCTTCCAGTTTCACCAGAACCTACTCTCGTCATCCATTCCCTGTCGTCGTTTGTCTTTGCAACATTTGGTTGAAAGTGAAAGAAAACCAGAGTAGAAGAAAGCGCCGATGGCGTTAATTTTTTTAAGGTGAACATCAACTTGCCAGGAAATGACCGACACACTAGATTTCATGACCTTCCTCTGCGGCACGGATAGAATGAGATATGCAGTATCCATTTATGAAACTGCAATGCAATGTCGCTAAATGTGTTATAATTTCGAGTGGCGCTTTCTATAGAATATCCTTCATGTGTAGCC